CACCCACACCCCTGGGGGGGCACCCAGACCCTTTGGGGGCACCTCTGTCCCCTTCGGATCATCTCTATTCCTTTGGGATCACCCCTGTTCCTTTGGGAGCACCCAGACCCCTGTGGGGTCACCTCTGTCCCCTTGGGGTCACTCAGACCCCTTGGAGGGTCCCCCCTGTCCCTTTGGGGTCCCCCCTGTCCTTTTGGGGTCACCCCTGTCCCCTTGGGGTCACCTCCTGTCCCCTTGGGATCACCCAGACCCCTGGGGGGTCCCCCCTGTCCCTTTGGGGTCCCCCCTGTCCCCTTGGGATCACCCCTGTCCCCCAGGTGTCCCTGGCCTGGTCCCCCCTGTGTTGGGTGTCTATAGGATCTCTGTAGGATCTCTGTAGGGTCCCCCTGTCCCCCCCAGGTATCCCTGGCCTGTTTTCTCCCCCCACTGGTCCCACTGTAGGATCACTGTAGGGTCTCTCTAAAGTCCCCCTGTCCCCAGGAGTCCCTGTCCCCTTACAGGATCTCTATAGGGTCACTGTAGGATTTCTCTGTCCCCAGGTGTCCCTGTCCCTGTCCCCAGGTGTCCCTGTCCCATTACAGGATCTCTATAGGGTCACTGTAGGATTTCTCTGTGCCTCTCAGGTGTCCCTGGCCCATTATAGAATCTCTCTAGGGTGTCTATAGGGTGTGTATAGAGTCTCTATAGGATCACTATAGGGTGTCTATAGGGTCTGTGTGTGTCCCCCAGGTGTCCCTGGCCCACATCCCCCCGTTGGTCCCACTGTAGGGTCTCTATAGGGTCTCTATAGGGTTTTTGTTCCCCCCAGGTATCCCTGGCCCATTATAGAGTCTCTATAGGATCTCTATAGGGTGTTTACAGGGTCTCTGTCCCCCCCAGGTGTCCCTGGCCCACACCCCACCCGTTGCTCTCACTGTAGGGTCTCTATAGGGTGTCTATAGGGTCTCTATAAGGTCTCTGTCCCCCCCCAGGTGTCCCTGGCTCATTATAGGGTCTCTATAGGGTCTCTATAGGGTCTCTGTCCCCCCCAGGTGTCCCTGGCTCATTATAGGGTCTCTATAGGGTCTCT